ATCCAGCTCGATGGGGGGAGTAGGGTTAGGGTGAGGGGTTAGCACTGGGGTTAGAGGGTAGCTGGCTGCTGAATCCCTTTGGGAATTGTTTCCTAAGGAAAGGCCACACTCACATCCTCCCAGACAGCATCCAGCTCGATGGGGGGGGTGGCCTGTTTCAACATGCTCTTGAAGGCCGACTCCTTGCGCTTCATCTTCCGAGCCTCCTCCTTCTCCCGCTCCCGCTCCCGGGCCTCGGCCTTCTCCAGCAGCTGCAGCAAGGAAAAGGCACAGGATATGAGGAAAAGGCACAGGATATGAGGAAAAGGCACAGGATATTTCAAAGACATCCAAGTGGAAGGGGAATAATCCAGCTTAATGGGATTTTTGGAAAGCCAGTTCACCTTCGGAGTGGTCTGTTAGTGTGAATGATAATAATAATAATAATAATAATTAATCAATGGTTTAATTTCAAAGCACAGAATGGCTGTTCCCGAGAATCTAAACCAGAAACACACACAGCTCACGAGATCAGCTGGGTGTAAATGAGAGAACCTGACTCAATTCCCACCCCAGAATTCCCTAAGCTGGAATGGTGACGGTTGGAATTGAGATCAACCTCTGCCATAATTCTGGCAACTGATATCAGCATAAGCATCTCCCCAAATTATTATGGAAGTAGGCAGAGCAATACAGTGAAAATAAATGTTAATTCTCATTTGGACAAGAGATTTCATACCCTAAAATAAATGTTAATTCTTGTTCAGGCAAGAGATTTCATACCCTAATTAAATACCTTAATAAACGTTTTTGATATTAATTACACATATTAAAATATCCAGTATAATTATTGATACATGTCAAGCTACATTATAATTCTGGTCTCTCTGAACACTTACACTGTTGAAAGCCAGTTTGATATTCCCTGCATCCAAAGTTGTGGCTCTTTTGGTGGAGCTGATGACGGTGACGAAATCCTCGAAGGAAGTGTTCACCTCCACCACGAATCCTTTGTCCTGGAAGGAAAAGGAATTCCTTTGGCATCAGGGAGTCAGGAATTCCCAGCACCCAAAGGTTCCCTCAGAGGAGGAATTTGGCATGAAAAGGAATTTAACAGGATTTGCTCACCTTTAGGATGTCTTTGATGATCTTCTTCTCGTCGTGGTAACGAGCCTTCAGGTCCTCCACGTAGAACTTGAACAGGTCCAGGGCTGTGGATCCTGAGGGGAGGGTTGCAGAATTTTAGATGTTTTTGACATATTTTTGGATCCTTTATATTTTTTTTTAGATATTAGATTTCTAAAGACGTTTTT